AGTTAAGTTAGGGTTTTTCAAAATGCTGACACACCGAGCTCAAAAGGTTCGCCATCACTGGTCTAGGGAAACTAGTAAGTTAACAAGCAGTAAAGGATAGCCAGTGCCTTGAAAGGTGCTACAGATGAGAACTACCACTACCCAACTGTAGAAAATTTCTTTGGGGCCCTGGTGGCATGGGTCAATGGTTGAGCATCAACCTGGGAACCAGTAGGTCACAGTTCGATTCCAGGTCAGGGCACATGCCCAGGTGGCGGGCTCGACCCTTAGTGGGGGGGCATGCAGGAGGCAGCCAATTGATGATTCTGTCTATTCATTGATGTTTCTATCTCTCTATCCTTCTCCCTTCTTCTCTGGTTAAAAAAAAAAAATAGATATAGATATAGATATAGATATAGATATAGTTATAGATATAGATATGTAAAGAATTTCTTTGGGGATCTTAGGATTGGGTTTTTTCTTCTTTTTTTTTATTAGTTAAGGTATTACAAATGTGTCCTCATCTCCCCCATTAACCCCCAACCTCTCCCCCCCGCCCCGCACACTCATGCTCCCATCCCCCTGTTGTCCATGTCCATTGGTTTGTTAGCCAGTAATCTTATGTCTAAGTGTCTTTCTCACCCTTTCAAAACAGGACTTGTAACATCTCCTTGTTCTTTCTCTGACTTAGATCGGGGCACTGTGCAGAAGGTGGTGGTTCTTCCGACTAACAGCTCTGCCAGCAGCGAGCTCATTCTGGAGGAGCTGGAAGTGTTTAAGGTTTGAACATCTCTTCTATTAGTCTCTGAACATGCACGATGAACAGAATTCTTTCATCTAACAGACACTTTGGAAGAAAATAATATCTTATAAAAGATCAAATAAAGAATGTAATAAATTGTGAGGGTAGGAACACCAGATACCTAGTAGTGGGATCACTGGGTCAAATGGGAGTTCCATTTTTAGTTTTTTGAGGAAGCTCCATACTGTTCTCCACAGTGGCTGCACCAGTCTGCATTCCCAAGGATTGGGTTTTTTCAATGTTGATATGATTTAATTATTTCCCCCAGAGGGACAGACTGCTTGAATTAGATAAGTTTACTCCCTCACCTAAGACTGAAGCCAATACAAAGTTTGTTTTAATATTCTTGATAAAAATACTCTACTTCCTTAAAGAAGCACTTAGACAATATATAGCAAGGAACTTAAAAAACATCTATACCTTTTGATATAGTAATTCTACTTCTAGAAATCTATTCTAAAATAATAACCAGATTTTTGTCAGATTTTTTTCAAAAAAGTTTGTTTCATTGTTATTTATAATAGAGAAAAGTTGGGAACATCATATATGTTCAACAGGGAAGAAATGATTAACTAAACTGTGGTATATTTACAAGTGGGAATTTTGGGCAGCCATTACAAAATCCAATTTTCAAGGATTATTGAATGACATTGGAAATGTTCTTACTATAATGTTAAGTAATGAAAGCAGGACACTAGTGGGAATACAAAATGTACAACCTCTATAGAGGGAAATTTGGCAATCTCTACTATAATTTTATGCACATTAACCCTTTGACCCAACAATTCTACTTCCAGGAACCTACCACAAAGATACACTGCCAAATACACAAAGTGATATATGCACACCATTACTCATAGCAGCACTATTTCTAAGAGCAAAAGAGTAGGAATAACCTAAATGCCTATCATTAGGTGATTGGGATAGATTACCGTATGCACTAAATGGCACATATGCAGCTAAAAAGAAAGTAAGGAAGAATTTCCTGTGTTTATTTGTCAAGATCTCCAGAATATTTTATTAAGAAAAAAAAATCAAGATACAGAAAAATGTGTTTCCTTTTGTGTAAGTAAACCAAGTTCAGTTATTCTATGGAATTCTTTTAAAAATCCTTGGGAGTTTAATTGTGGAGCATGTGACAACTTATATCTATACAATATCATTGCTCATTGGTTACCACTGGAGGTTGCTAGGACACCAACTCATGACTCTAAAAATCAAAGAGAGCCCTAGCTGGTTTGGCTCAGTGGATAGAGCATTGGCCTGCAGGCTGAAGGGTCCCGGGTTCGATTCCAGACAAGGGCACATGCCGAGGTTGCCGGCTCAATCCCCAGTAGGGGGCATGCAAGAGGCAGCCGATCAATGATTCTCTCTTATCATTGATGTTTCTATCTCTCTCTCCCTTCCTTTCTGAAAACAATAAAAAATATATATATATTTTTTTAAAAGCTTTAAAAATCAAAGCAAAAGAATCCTGCTTTTCTAGTATGAAATATATTTCAGGGTAACCAAATAACCCTATTAGATGAGAGAAAGTTCTATTATAGAGAATAATCCCAGCTATCTATCAGAAGAAACAATAGAATCAGACCCCTAGTAAAATAAGTGATGCAGGCAAAGGTCATCAATGGATGCTAAAACCATTGACGGGAACTGTACAACTGAATCCACTGATCCATCTTGGCATCACCCAAAGCTAGACAACATGACATTATCTTTCTCTAGATGCAATGCAATATGATGTACACAGCATCACCTATGAAGTATGTTTGCCAAAATTTTATATTGATCCTGAATCTAATCAATCTAACTTTTAGTCTAGTGTAATTATAGGGGTAAGGAAAAGAAGCTAAATACTATCATGAGAATACAATGAGCCAAATTCAGGAAGTTTAGACCTCTTACAAGATAATCTCCCTGGCGGTCAAGTCAATGGCAAATTCGAGGAGGGGAAAGGGGGGTGTGTCTGTTCAAGATTAAAAGAGACTTAAGAGAACAACCAATTACAAAATGCAAGCCTTGTTTGGATATCAGTTTAGTAAATCAATTATGAAAACATTTGTAGAACAATGTGGGAAATCTGAATATAAACTGAGTATTAGGTAATATTAAGGAATTAATATTAATTTTGTTAAGGGTGATATTGGCATTGTGGTAATGTAAGAAACTGTCCTTATTTTTAAAAGATGTACACTGAAGTATATATGTGAGAAATAACAATCTGGGATGTAATTTAAGGTATTCAGCAAACAAAGTGGGGTAGGAATAGATGAAATCATTGGGCAAGATTGTTCGTTACTAAAACTAGGCAACAGTGGGTTCATTGTGCTTTTTTGTCTTCTTTGGTGTTTGGAACTTTTCATAATAAAATGTTTTTTTAAACCCCAGCAATGCTCAAGGATATATGGGTTAGAACATACTGGTTCCAAGATATAGTGTAACAAAGCAATCTGTGATATAAAAGAATCCAGGCTTAAAAGTATGTATGTATTTAACCATTCAACATGTTGAGGGGCAATTCTTCAGAAAATCCCTCCTAAATGTCTTTGATTTTTGATTGTTAGCGGCTCCTCCTGCACCTTCTCCTTCTCTTTCTGCCCTCTGAACCATCTTATTTGGGGCTTACCAAAAACTGATCAACTTAGGGAAATGGTGGCAGCACAATAACTTCCTCTACAGAGTCCTAGGTGTCACTGGGAGTGGAGGGCTCTCTGTTCCTCTAGAAAATGTGTAGGTCTCCCTGGGGGCATAGACCTTCCAAGAAGCATGTGTGAAGTTACTGTTTTCACACAACATAAAGTGTTATGATCAACCACGTTTCAAATGGATGAAGAAACAGATTCTTTCTCTGAAGGATTTCTACAGTCACATTTAAATGACACATCTCTGTTTGGACCCCACTTTAATATTATCTGTAACTAACCAGTATCTTCAAAATGTAAAATGCTGATCACCTTAACATGTTAGAGAACATCTTATAAATCTGAAGGGAACTGGAAACAGGTTTAAGTCATGAATATATTTAAAATAACAGGTTACACACAAACTTTTCAGTGACCCCTGCTTTGGGAGCCCAGACACATCTTTGAAGGTGGAAACAGAAGTGGGAGGACAGGGGTGACATAAGAGTGTCAAGTTTGAGCTCTGTTGCAAATGTGCTGTTGACTTTGGGTGGATTGACCTCTCTTGACCTTGGTTCCTCTCTGCCCATGGGAAGGCAGCATTTCCTGATCTGTCTTATGTCTCACCCACATCTCTAAAGAAATCATGTACGTGAAAAAATATTCTTTTTTTTCTTCCTGTCATTGCTATAGCCAATATTATTATGCTTACTAGTATTAGCAATTTTTAACAGTTTATCTTTATTGTTGAAAGTATTACAGATGTCCCCTTCCCCTACCCATTCCCCGCCCCCCCCATTGACCTCCTCCACATCGTACCAGCTGCCCCCCAGGCCTCATGCACTATTGTCTAGGACCATGGTTTACATGTATATGAATATAAGTTCTTTGGTTCATCTCTCTCCGACATTCTGACCCCCTTTCCTCTGAGATTCGTCAGTCTGTTCCCGTGCTATGTGAAAATATTCTTGAAACTATAAAGAGATTATAATTATTTTTTAAAATATACTCTCCACGTAGATATTGGTTTTCCCTTGTCAACATCTCTTATTTCCCAATTCCACTTCTAGAATTGTTCTTAAAATCTCTGGGATATAGTTTGAATAAAAGATTCTGGGAGTAGATTATATTTTTAATTAGAGATTGTTTAGCTTCCTATTTACTGTGCAACATTAAAGAAAAGATTTTCTTCCTAACTTAAAAAAAAGTTTAATTTTAATACTGTTAAAAATCAAAGCATATTATTTCTGGAATATTTTTGAGTCCTGGAGATTTTAGCATTTTAGAGTTCTTTTTGCCAAAGTCTTGTTTAAACATACTAAATAAATTTTCTTTAAACTCATATTTTTAGCATCTTTTAAAAATAGCCATTTTAAATGTTGTCAGTGGTAGCCTGGCCTGTGTTCCTTCTATTAAGGCAGATTCTTTCATGGTACGGATAGCAAGGATTGAGGACTTGAACAGGAAAGCCTTCAGATTAATCTCCCAGGGCTGGAACCAAACAACGAGGCTTTGCCCAAAGTGGTCAACATGATATCTTCGTCGGTACTCAGTGGCTCATGAAAATGTGTTCAAATTGTACTCGTTACATCTCTTACCAGGGCAGGTTGGAAGCGGCTAAGACAAACACGAGATCTTCCGAGCGAGCCAGCCCATCCATCTGCACCAGCAGCTCTGTCTTCATCCGAAGGCTTCCTTCGTGCTCTCCCCTAGAGAGAGAAAGGAGGTGAGTTTCCCCAGGGTAGAGCCTTCGCTTCCATGACAAGGCAGCAAAGACTCCGGGGCTGTGGAACGGGTTCTCTTCCGACTGCTAACCCTTCCCTGCCTCTTCTCAGGAGCCACTCATACTGGAGTTGGAGGAAACAAGCCATTTGGTAGTATTTTCCCACAGACAGTAATAGAGAGGATGTAAGTGAACATAATGATGATAGTGAAAAGAAAACCAAAAGTTGGCAGCGAACTAGAAAATGACAGAAGGGCAGACAGTGCCTCTGGTAGATTGAATCCAGCTCTGTCCACCTGCGTACTATTTACCCTTTTATAAATGGCATAATTGAGAATAATCTTTTCCCTTTATATAGCTGGCATAAAAGAACTTTCTCATTTTTTTCATATAATTTATGGATATAAACTGTCCAAAAAGAGAGATCAACTATTTGTCTGAATCTGTTTCACTCTCTTTTAATAAGAGGCAAGATAATGACATGGGAGGCAGTCTTCTGTGAAAATTCATCCTCCAAGCTCCCATCACCACTGCCAAAGACCTTCCCACCAACAAAGAGCTCACTTCAGGATCTGAACATCCAGATGGGCTCTACTAGTAAATACTGACCATATCTGGCAGGCTGTCCTTCCTCTTCACTTGAATAGATGGCCATAAAGGACAAAAAATGGCTGTCTTGAACAACATGAAATTCAACTTCTCATCTCTGCATGAATCTTGGGGCACCCCAAACCAGGTATGTGGCTTTTAAGGAACTGTGACCCTTACTATCTACCTACCTTTTCCTAGGACAGAAGACCATCTCACAATATAGTTACATATATAGTCAGCATTTGCCCCTAGTTATTATTCTTTTAACATAATAGGGCCCAAGCAGGCTTCCAAGCACCTACACTGATTCCCTGACTATTTGAAGATTCTAGTTTAGAGATTAAGTTCCAGACAAGGAAACAGACATTCAGTACAAAACCTAGAGCACACGCAGGACAGTAGATGAAGAATTTTCCAGATTAGCTCATCAACGCTGTGGGGACCCAGGGATGGAGTGAGTGCACAGGTCACTGGGGTGAGGCAGACCAGGCAGGCTGGGGGCTTTGCAGAGGGGATGACCGCTAGGTCTGCTGGGTTCCCAGCCCGCACTGTGTGGCAGTCTGTTCCCGTCAGGTCCTGTATAGAGAGGCCGAGTACCCTGGCCTGGGGCTGACAGCACCCACTACACCATGGAATCATCCCCTTTCGGTCAATGGTAAGAGTCCCATGGACCTTAGTGGGAAAATGGTTTTCAATGAGTAAAATTTCATAAATTATAGTCTAGTTATATAGTCTAGTTTTCAATATAGTCTATATAGTCTAGTTATATAGTCTATATAGTCTAGTTATATAGTCTAGTTATATAGTCTAGTTTTCAATGAGTAAAATTTCATAAATTATAGTCTAGTTATATTTCCAACAAGCTAATTATTTGTTCTGTATTAATATTAGTTCTGCCTTGATGATAGACCATTACTAGCAGAGGCCATTGATGAATGCAGTCATGTTGAGATTTCCCTGAGACCTGTTTCTTTTCAAGCCAAATGAGCCAAATTTAGTAAAAAGTTTCAGAGAAAAATACTTCTGATCAAGACAGAAAGGTGTTCTTAAAACACACATACACAGCTCATTATAGTCTGAGAAATGAACTAGAAATGAACAGTCTTTCCTGCTGGGGACATTAGCAGACACTTAATCTTTAGAGATAACATATGTGACATGTTTAAATTAGGACATGCAGAGCCACATCCTGATGTCACAGAGAAATGGTGGCTTCCCCGGCTTCGCACATCTTGTCAAGGCCTGGCCCTCTCGGGACTTGGCTCTTTGCAGCCCCGTTCCCCACAGGCAGCCCCTCTGGCTCCAGAGGAGGCGGTCACGGGCGGCTATTTTAAGCCAGCAGGACTATTATGTTACGGCAGCCTGGGACTGTGGGACTGGGTGATCTTCAGGCCTGAAAACCACTCTGTGGGGAAGGGGGGAAGGGAGGATGACATTTCCTCCGGTTATAAAAACTACTTAAATCAGCTATTCAGTTAACAGGACCTAATTTAAAGACCTTTCCGTGTGTCTGCAGAAAATTTGTGGGCTTATTAATAGGCTCATTCTGCTGGTAAATGTCGATGGGCTTCCGACCATCAAACACACTTACAAGAGGGGAGAAGTGATGACCAAAAAAACCCTGTCTGTTACCCGGGAGCCGTGCCTCTCTGACTCATCACCGACTCCAGCTCGTCCAGGAAGATGGTGGAGGGGGCATGGTAGCGAGCAAGTTCAAATAACACCTGGGTGGGAGAAAAGCAACCACATGTTCAAACCCGTATATTTAAAGTTCTCAGGTGCTCCCAAAGAGCAAAAGCTTAGAATGACTATACTATTAACCATCTATGCTGCACTCTGTTATTTCACTAACAACTTTATAATCATTACAGTCATTTCTCCCTAGAATACCCTATAGGGTTGGCTGGTCCAATTATTTCCGTTTGTCACTTGATAAAATTAGATCCAGAGAGATTAAGTGGTTATCTCAAGGTTACTAATCATAAGTAGAGGAGCTTAAGATAAAACTCAATTCCTAAGCTTTCAGCCCATTAGCCAATCCCTGAGAACCCCTGTCAATGTTTCATAGGGACACAAGAGCCTGGAATATGTAAAATCATTTGATGATTGTCCCTAATCCTTTAGGGACAATGAGAGAGCTATTCTCAGGAGGAAGAATTGCTGGGAAAGGCTAGAGTTCCAGTCATGGGTAAAAAAGACAGAAATTTTGCCCCTCTCTGCTCCCCAAGTTACTCCACAGGGTTCCCATACCACCCAACACTGCTGCTTGGTAGGCTCGGGTACTTGAAGGCAACTCCCAGTTGAATAAAATGTTCCATTCCAGAATAAAATGTTATAGACTGAGAAAGAACAGGAAAGCAAGCAGCAAAAGAACAGCCATATAAAAACAAAATAAAGAGCTCTAAAGGGAGATGTGATGGTGATGAAAAGAGTATAAAAAATGAAACCTTTTTTTTCAACCCCGAAACTGATCTCTTGAGCACCACATATAATTCTTCACTGGTTGATCAGAGAAAGCAATCGAGATTTAGAAAAAAACAAAGGTTCTTTAGTTGGCAGAGGGGATTTATTCTCCATGTCACTTAGCACTAGCAAAGCATCACAGAACGAATAAGGAGGGAAGGACTCAGAAAAGCCAGGTTGTGGTGTTCATGAGTAGTAGCAGATCATCCCTTACAGGTCTCCCTAGCACTGAATGGAAAACTGCTCATGTGCGTTGTGTGTTCATGCTCATGCTCAAGTATTTTCCTTTACAGAATCCTATTCATTTGACCACGACAACAGGCTCAGCCTAATGAACTGAAAGAAGAGCGTCAATGCTGGGACACTCATCACACATATAGAGACCACCTTACTAGAAGCAAGTAACTTGTTCTCTTGTCACAATGGCAGCAATCTTCCCAATGAAAAGTTGGATATTAGAACTCTTTATTAGAACCATACATGTTTTTAAGGAGCTCCCTGGGGTGCAGTGAGACCAAGGGGCAAGATGAGACCAAACATCCAAGTGGAAGGAGAACCACATCTGGAGCCTCTGTTTCCATATAGACCACGCCACTGCCCTTTCCACTGCCAGAGAATATACAGAATCCTGGGTAAGTGCTCTGAAAGCATTAGGCTAAAATTTTCTAAAGTACTGGGAGGAAGTTAAATCATAAAATTTGGGGAGGAGGGGTGTTAAAAGATGTAAGCACCAACAGGTGTGTGCATTTGCTAAAGAGACCACTCAACTACTCAATAGCATCAGCTCCTAAGAGGCATGAACATTAGGAGGGGAGGGAGCAACATAACCCAAGGGTTCCCTATAAATAACTCTTAATTGGAATAGAAAGAGAATCGAATGGTAGGAATGCTTCTTTGATTTAGGGGAAAGGTCCTGAAGGGCCATCTTTATCTGAAGGCTTCATAGTAAGGAATTTGACAGCATGACCAAGATTCTTCAGGTGAAGATCTTCTCAAGAGCTCAGAAAATAAAGTAGCTTCTGAAAGGATAGAAGGTGAGATCCTTCAAGGTTAGCAGAGGTGATCTGTTTTCCTCTTGAAATATTTTTTTAATATCCAAAATAAAAATGCATTTCACAGAGAAAAAGACACACAAATTCTTCGAAACTTATAAAAAGATGCTCAAATTCATTTAGAATGAAAGAAATGCATATTTGAGCACTGAAATATTACTTTCACTATCAGATTGTCAAAGATTGCAAAATTGGGTACTTCACAGTGTTGGCCAGGGTGTGGAAGAGCAAACACACTCACCATTGGAGGGAGTGTAAGCTGGTGCAACCCTGTTGGCAGGGAGTTGGGCAATCAGTGATCTTCATTCCCTCTGGCCCAGCAATTCTACTTCAAATAAATTGCTCTACATGACTACATATGCAAAGTCGTGTGTATGAAAGGACTGTCCACTGTAGCTTTGTTCATAATAGCAAGTGACTGGAAACAACCTAAATGTCCATCAAGAAAAGACTGATTTAATATGTTTTGGGACACATCCATGCAATGAAATACCATTCAGATATATAAAAGAATATGCTCTGCTTATAACAGTGTGTAACATCCAAGTGAAAAAAAAAATCCTGCAAGGTATAGAAGGGTGTAGACGTATATGTGGTAGCAGTAAGTTGCCTCTGGGTTTAGGGGTATATATACCCTTTTGTACATTTTTTCCAAAAAGATTAGTTACTTTTTAAATGTATTGTAAAGTAAGGTGAGAAGTCATTTCCTCACTCTTAGAAAACTAACAAAATAATACTGAAGCAGAGGAAAATTTTAGTTTAAAAGAATCCTCACACAGAAGGAAGAGTTCTGGCTAAATGACTTTTCTGCCTATTCAACACTAAACAATAAAATCCATGTAGTTTTCATCTTTGTTGAGAATATTCATAAAATAGCTGAATTTACTCTTCTGTCTAACTAAGTCCTGTCCAGGGAATATAATGTATTCTTCCTTCGAGCATCTTGCAGTGTCTGGTGCTCATAGTTCTAAACAGCACTTTTCAGGATAGGAGATAAAGCTAAACTGATTCTATAGGCATTTTGTAAGAGTTTTGTTGTTCTTCAGCACATAAAAATGGAACTTTTTAAAAAAGTCTTCTGGTTGATGAGGCTTCTAATTAGTCGGATTTCAACTTATTAAAATCCAGCTAACTAGAATCACACAGAACCATAGATTAAGGACAAGCCAACTTCAAGCCCCATCTTTGGATATGGTAAGTTAGATTCAAGATGAAGAACAAAGAAATAGATGTCAACATATATTTCCATGTATTATAATCTTGAATGGGTGATAGATAATTTATGAAAACATATGCATTTGGACCAATTTGAAAACAATATCAAAGTAGTAAATAATAGGTTACTTTTGGTAAATCAATCCTTTAAAAATATTCTATTATGCCTTCCAATTAAGCCAGAATATTATGAAAATAATCCATTTAAGAAAAAATAATTTAAGCATACTATTTTAGAGTAATTTCTTATCAGAAAATATATAATATTTACATTCATTTAGTATTAATTACTTATCAGTCCTTCTACAAAGTGCAATAGTTTAACAGGACTTCTGAGAGGGACCCACCTTACATTGAGGCATAAATCATGAACAGGTATTCTCAAAAGGTAAAATTTTATAATATAAAATATGCCATTGACTATGAATGAGATATTGTAAAGATAGAAGCAATCTCTTAAGGAAAGAAAAAAACATAAAACCTATAAGCTATTAGCACTATGGAGGAATGTTGCTCAGAGCATCTGAATGAATAATTAAGTTTTACATTTCTTGAGTCTTCCTTTGAGTACCTAGTATTAGGAACCAGGATATAGTAGTAGCCTCTCAATAAATGTTAACTGGATAAACTGCACATGCTTAATAATAAATGCTTCTTGAATGAAGGGGGAAAAATAGGCCACTTCAGAGACAATTTTTTCAGTTTCCATTCCTAAGTTGCATGAGTCACAAAAGGGCAGTTGGTCAAATTCCCAAAGGAAGGGAGATCATATTTTGCTGATGGGGCATAATTAATATGTACATATGATAGTCCATCTCCTGGGTTTTGGGTAATCAAGATCCCGGATAAATTCTAACATATAAATCACTTAAAAACAAGTAAACTGTAACATCATTTTTGTACCACTATGTTTTGCTGGAACTTATTCTAACAAAATCAAGAATTCCTGTATCTATGAAACAAACTACTGGTTACCAGAGAGGGAAGGGGTTGGGGCCGGTGAAATAGGTGAAGGGTATGAAGAGGTACAGACTTCTAGTTGTAAAATAAGTCATGGGGATGTGCTAGACAGCATAGGGAATATAGTCAACAATATCGTAATAACTTGTATGGTGATAAGTGGTAACTAGACTTATTGTGGCAATCATTTCATAATATGTATACATATTGAATCACTATAATGTACACCTGAATCTGATATTGTATGTCAATTATACATTTAAAAAAAAGAATTCCTACCCGAACAAGTTTTTCTGAATCTCCTCTCCATTTGCTGACAATGGTAGATGCAGAAATGTTAAAGAAGGTTGTTTTACATTCCGTGGCCACAGCTTTGGCCAGTAAAGTCTTTCCTGTTCCTAGAGACACAGTGGAGAAAGTCTGATTGGCATTTGAGCTTCCTTTCTCTGCTTACAGACAGAAGTCAGTGTCGCAAGCAAAAAAAAAAAAAAAAAAAAAAAAAAAAAAGGAGAGCGGTTCCTCAGCTCTCGTTTGCCCCATTCTGATATCCTGATGTAAGGACAGATGAGCCAATTCATCCTCTGCATGCACACTTAATACCAAGACCAAACCAGAAATATTCGTTACCTGGAGGGCCATAGAGCAGTAGTCCTTTCCAGGGAGAGAGAATTCCTGTAAACAGCTGTGGGTACTATGGGAAAAGGAACAGTGGTGAGGTTGGGTATCTGTATGTCAGTCACACCCTAGCACAGGCAAGCTGGTGAAGCTGGAGTGAGCACAGCCCGACTCTGAGAGCCAGGTCTTCCGTTTAGGAAGGCTGGCTGCTTCTGTATATATCTTATATATCCCAACTTGACTTTCACACGTGATATGAACGTGTGGCTTAATTTATGAGGCTTTTTAAAGAGCAACGTTTTTTAGGGAAAAGAAAGGCATATGTGTGTACTCTCCTTCTCCATTACAATAGTTATTTCTTATATGCATAACATCATTCCCCACCCCACCTCACCCCTGCCCTGAGCTCTATATAAAGACCTATCAGATATGAACTTTAAGAGAAACACTAGAACCAACAAATAAAGGTGTATGTGAATAAAGCACAAAACTGTGGTGAGCCCGGCTGGTGTAGCTCAATGGTAGAGCATCAACCTATGAACCAGGATTCCTGGCCAGGGCACATGCCCAGGTTGCGGGCTTGATCCCCAGTGTGGGGCATGCAAGAGGCAGTCGATTGATGATTCTCTCTTATCATTGATGTTTCAATCTCTCCCTCTCCCTTCCTCTCTGAAATAAATAAAAATATATTTTAAAAAACAACTGGATATCTTTTTTAAAAAAACAACAACTGGTGAAGCCTGATGTAGAAGTCACATAGAAGTTAGGAACATCCAATGCAGACGGCATTATGAGACACGGGCTCCAAATGGGACATGCATGACTTCAGCGAGTCTCTCTCATAGTTCAAATTCAAACAATCTAGAGGGTGGGTAGGGTTGGTAGAAAACAACCAGAAGCAAAGATAATAGTAAAATCGTAACTAGCTATTAGTTTCTTGTTGATGCTAATGTCAAAATCTCTATGCCATCACATACAGAGCCTATGATACCATGGAGATAGCACATCCAGAGAGCTTCAATGAGATGTTCTAGCCTATCCAAAAGTCTTGTTCTAGAGCCACTCAGAGGACATGGTGAGTAAACTTTCACCGAGATGTCCAGAAGTCTTGTTCTAGAGCCCTAGAGCCACTCAGAGGACATGGTGAGTAAACTTTCACTAACTCTGAGCACCAGTATATTGCTTACCCCCCAGTCTTAACACGGGAAATAAAAGGGGGGCGGGGAACACAATCCAAATGTATTGATTTCATCTCATTAGAATAGAAGCATCCAAAAAGCAGGGGCTGCATGGGCTCGGTGGTAAAAATAAATAAGTTATTGAATAAATTTGTAAACCTGATTCTGACCACCAGTATATTGCTTACCCACCAGTCTTAACACAGGAAATAAAAAGGAGGGAACACAATCCAAATGTATTGATTTTATCTCATTAGAATAGAAGCATCCAAAAAGCAGGGACTGCTTTGGCTCAGTGGGAAAAATAAATAAGTTATTGAATAAATTTGTAAACCTGACTGCAGGAGATTACAGAAAATTATTTGCAGCTCCCTCCACCAATAGGCAAAGTATATTTCTCTACCACTTGAATCTGGACTTTGCCTTGTGATTTTGGCCAATGGGACGTTAGGAAATATAAGAAGAAACTTGAAAATATAAGACTAGCTGATATGAGGAATATAAGAAGAGACATGGGAAATGCACATGGATTGGGACCTGCCCTTTCTTGCTTCTGTCTGGGACTCTCTGCCACCATGTGAACACCAGCTTGCCTGCTGGAGGCACGTGGAAGGCCTCAGCTGTCCCGTTTATCCCAGATTTCCCAGCCTCTCCATCTTCTCCAACCATCCTGGCTGATGCCCCAGACATGTGAGTGAGGCCAACCAATATCACCTGAAAAAGAGATGGGCCAGCCCAGCTGAGCCCCTTCCAAACTGCATACCCACAAAACTGCAAACAGATAAATGATTATTGTTTCAAAGGCACTGCATTTGGAGAGTGTGTCTGTTATACAAAAGCTGTCATACACTGACCTTCTCATCACCATGTTTATAACCAAACATAGAGAGTCTTGTTTTTTCTTTTTCTTCCTGTTCAGTGAGCCACTCCGTACAATGACTTGTCAGCAGCAAGCAATGAGCACAACAGGCTGGCTCACTGGCCAGTGCCCTGGAGGGAGCTGCCTAGTCTTTACAACCAGTCAAAAGCAACGCCTCAAAGGATGGGTGTGTGTGTGTGTGTGTGGTGTGTGTGTTGTGTGTGTGTGTGTGTTGGGAAATATAGATCTATGAAAACAAAATAAGTGGCCCTCTCCTACAGGAGATATTTCTACTATGGTATATTTTTAGGGAGGCAGACTAATTTGAACCAATCTACAGGAACTGACAAGTCATATATGCTTCAGTCTTAGATCTAATATTATCACTTAGAGCAGATACCTGCCTTGAAACCTCGTGTAACATTTCAAACTGCCTAGAATGGCATGGGCCTTGGTAGTCCAGCATTGCCAAAGTATAGGCAAAAGGCTAACTTGTGGACAGAAAACATCCTGGGCTTCTCTCCCTAATGGGTGTTATGACATACAGCTTGTCCAATGGATATGAATAGAAATACCCCCCAAGAGGCTTCCCATCCTTACCTTTATAGGATACACCACAGCTTCTTTGACTAACTGCTTGGCTGCATCGAGTCCAATAATGTCATCCCACTTTATGTTTGGATTATGGAGATAAATGTCCTGCAATGCACATTTGATCATTTTGTTAAAACTAATGTTTTCCTCCACAGCTGCAATAAACATGGGAGCCACAGAATACTTGACTTACAATAGGACATAAAGAGCTGGTGATAAAAAAGTTTATGTTAGATATATGTATATATGCACACTGTAATTTTGGTTCACCAAAGGGATGCCATAAGAATATTCAGTGATTTTCCCTGAAGAAGACATTGATTATATAATATGTGGGGGGGGGGGGGGGGACCTGACAATGGACTATACCCGTCTTCAGTTAATAGCAAACCAGGCTGATTTATGACCATAATCAAAGAAGCTACAGAACATGCCTTCAAATTACATGCACTTTTACTGTGAAACATAGTTCCTAGCTGGTGCCTGGCCTCTCTCTTGCTCCTTGATCTCGCAAACACTTTCTTAATTTGTTGCATGAAAGAGATAATGCTCCTCTGAAACCAATTTCTCTTTTTCCCTAGTGATCACTCCCTACTTCCACCAAGAGCAATTGCTTCTACAGAATTCAAGGAAGCCAACAACCAAGCAAAAGTGAGTTTTCCCCCTTTATAGTAGAGCCCTGTATCAGCCACCTAGGTTAATCAATTAAGGTAGCTTTTACTGATAACTCATTTACCGTTTCCAAATTCCAATTTCACAAGACGCCTCAGAACTGTCACTCAAGGGCCTTTCTCAGTAGGAGCTGTTTCAGGCAAACTGAATATCTAGAGTGTTACATTAAAAAGAGAGAAAAGCCTCCTTTCGAAAGTCATTCTGAGGATTACGCAGCAATCCGGAAACTATTTTTATAGTTATTTAATTTTTAAATAAGTAATACATGCACAAGCTCAAAAACATAAAAACATTTTTTAAATGCTGGTGAGATGTTATGCTCCCACTCCTGTCTTCTGTCCTCCCAGTTCCCTTCACCCACAGGTAAGGACTTTCATTAGAGAGACTATTCATACAAGTGTTTCTGGTCATGCATAATATGCATGATCCATTCCTGGATGGGGACACAGAGAACGGACTCAGTCTCCCAAGATCTTGGGAGAACCTACCAGGTATTTAAAGCTTGGACCTGCATGCCCACCAGCCACTCATAGATCTCGCCCTCTTCTAAAGTTGACATTGAGTTCCACATGGAGGTGTTTAATTTCCCAACAGGGAGTTTTTCCTTACAGCAATCAAGTGTTATTAGTTAGAACTCAACAGGGTTACCTCACGAAGTGGTGAGCTCCGTGTCATGAAAGCATTCAGAGGCTGCTGACTGCTTCCCATGGTACTGTAGAAAGGATTCCAGATGGAACCCTTTCAGGACACTTCCACTCTACAACTCTATAATCACTAGTCATGTTATCCTTTTGCAAAAACAATAATGAGACTATTGATTTTTGTGACCATAAAAAATATTTTTCTCTGCTCTCTTATGCATCCCAATTACCACAGCCTGGCTCAATCCCTCATCCTCTCTCACTAGTAATAACTTCAGAGTTGGTCTCCCTATCTCCATTTCTTTGATATCCATCCACTACACTGTCAATAGAACGAGCTATCTAAAAGCACATTTGAATACCCCAGTCTCAATGGACACCTTTGAAAGGCTCCCCACCTGCTGCAGGCAGGTCCTCCACCCTGGGCCCTGTTCACTGGGCCCTCACTCAGGAACCCTGGCCTCTCTCTCCAGCCCCATTTCCCAGAACTCCTTGCGTCTTACATTGCTCACTGGAAACACTGCTTAATCAATACAATTTCACAGGTATGTTCCTTTTCCCAGAAAGTTCCCCGCCATCTGTCTTATACTTATTTCCTGGATAACTTCTTCCCTAACACTTCCCCTCCCTTTGGCACAAAACACTCCTCCTTTTTATGCTTTCGAAGTCCACCTTCCGCTGGGATGAGAAACGCTTGCACGCAAGGACTGTGTGATTGGGTCACCTTTGCATTTCCAGCCCCCGCTCATGCCTGACACATAGTAGACATGCAGCAAACAACTGCTGCACTGAAAGAGAGCTGAGCTGCAGACGCTGAATTACTCAGTCACGGTCCAGCTTTCTGCACCATTTTAAACATCTGTCGGAGCCTGCCTAGATTTCAGTCTTCCATGAAGTTAGAGAAAGTCTGCTATAACTCAGGAATCTCTTCTGTTCCCAAGGAACTTGCCCAAAGTCACACAGCTAGAAAAAGGAGGATCTAGACATCAAATCCAGCTCATCCAATTCCAGAGCCTCTGTCATTTACCAAAAGACTTCCCTGCCTTTAGATTCTGGGGGGCAGGCAGCCTTGAAAACTCGGTAATCTGGATAGTAAGCTCTTTCCTACTAATCTTGTATTTCATGGAAATTTCCACTTGTGAAATCATCAGACTCCTGACATCTCTATTTCCAGGCTTTGACTGTTTAAACAAGATGCAGACATGCTCTTTCCTTCTCTAAGAGGCTTGCTTTCTTTAACTCTTGGCTCAGCCTAAAACCTTTCACCCGTCTGTCCCTTACTTACTAAGTCTTTTTGGTTTTCTTGGCCTCTATAGTGAGATGGTGGGCTTTTTATATTGTAATTTTATGATTCTATAATTTATTTATCATGCATTATTGTGCCTCTAAACAATATGAGTGCCTTTGCAAGTGGGGGCACTTTATAAATAAATGATCATATTTATTGTTATTAATAAAAGAAGCAGCCCACAATGCTCCAGGAGCCCCAATCCGCCTCTGTAAATTGTGAATTGAGTATCTGATCTTACCCGGCTCACCACAGCTGCCAGTTCTCGCATCTCACTGTTCATGCCAATAAATGCACTCAGAGGTTTCAGCAGTCGTTCCTGATGATGGGAGCAAAACACCTCATGTTATAACATTGCTTCATAATTTAGGAAGAAAAACAGGGCATGGATCACAGTGACACAAGTGGTGGTGGATTGCTGTGACCTTCTACCCGATCTCAAGGTTTCTTTGACTCAAAATGATATCTCTAAAGTTCTTCTGGACTTTGGCAGTTTACAAGATGAATGACACATTTTAGCCACTTACTGCAGGGTCTGGGTTACACTCAAAGCTATTCGAGCCAAGTTCGCTGGTTGCTCCTTTGATAGCGTCTGTGAGCAGCCCTCGGAAGTCAATGATTTGGCCCTGAAAGGGAGTAATGGTTTATTTACACCATTAAAACTTGAGGAAAGACTATCCTTAATAGCTCGGCATCATTAAACCAAGACACATTAATGTTCCTTGGTGTGTAGGCCAAACTGAAAGTGAAGCTTTAAAATAACCTGCACTAATAATGAACAAGGTAATTTCCTGAAGTGAGGGCACTCTAGAAAAAAAAACCAAGTTGTAAATAAATTCTTCAGAATGAAGTTGGTTTAAGTGGAAATTCACAAGCGTCTTTCAGTTCCTGACACAGATCATCTGCTTCCTTACATGTCTATTTCCCTATACTGTCTCCTCCTTTTGGAACATTACACATACAGGAAAGACTCATTGGCCCAAAAGTAATGATAGTTCCTATTTACTATGGACTTTCTCAGTAGAGTACCTGGCACGAAGCTACCTTGCAAGGATTATTTCCAATTCATTTTTTAAAATTTTTAAATTACAGTTTATACTCAATATTATTTTGTATTAATTTCAGGTGTATAATATAGTGGTTAGACAATCATATACTTTACAAAGTGTTCCCCCCCTCTCCCCCCATATTTCCAGTACCCACATGGCATTATACATAGTTATTACAATACTAGAGGCCCAGTGCACAAAATTCATGCACAGGTAGGGTCCCTAGGCCTAGGGCCTTCTTTCATTCCACGCCGCCCCCTGGTGGTCAGCGCACATCATAGCGAGCAATCGAACTCCTGGTCTCCCAGTCAAACTCCTGGTCTCCCTGTAGAACTCCCAAGGGGACACTTTGCATATTAGCCTTTTATATATTTAGATTATTGACTATTTTCCTATTCTGTACTTTACATCCCATGACTATTTTGTAACTACCAATCTGTACTTTTGATTTTTTTCTAAGTCTTACAACACTTCTGCTAGTCAGGTGTGATAGCCTAGTTTCATAGATGGAAATAAGGCCAGGGAAATTCCATGATCTGCCCAGGGCCACACAGCTAACAAGTGGCTTCAGGCCAGGATTCAAACCCAGATACTTGTCTCTCATACTCCCTCCAAATCCACCTTGTCTCCCCTCTAGGAAGAAGGAAATAGTAAGGATGTGTGCAAAAACAAATAACAATAATTATAGTTGGCATTTATTGAGTGTTTATTGTGTGCTGGACACTGTACTAAAACCCTCCATTTATTATGACATTTAAAGTAACCCTATGATTATTTCCATTTTGCGGCTGAAAGAAATGAGGTTTAGAGAGATTGAACAACTTGTCCAAGGTTACACAGCTGGGAAGGTCTGAGCCGGAGTTTGAACCTAGACAGACTGATTCCAAAGACATTACCTTTAGGAGCAACATGCCTATTAAAGTTGCAAGGGGGGCTGGGGAATCCTGAAGCTGAGGGCCCTACCATGGCAATGAGAGACACACTTTGGAGATCAGCCTCCTGGCCATACACCCTCATTCAGCTTATAAACATCTGAAATGCTAGGGAGAAAATCATGTACATTTTACCCCGAGGACATTTCTGCTGTGAGAGAATTTACAGCCAGACTCTTCCAAAGGTTAAGTGCTGGGTTAAATAGTCCCTTCCTTATGACCTGATCAGACACATCCATCCATGTGAACTTGAGGCATTCAGGAGAGAAACTAATGCCACAAAACTGCTAGGCACAAAAGTGGCTGAAAATACAATGAAAGTAGTGAAGGTAACCAGGGACGTGTTTCTCCATGGGAGACACAGATTCAAATGGTATCTCCAGCAATCACTCATATATTTGAGGCCCTGAAAAGAGTCAGTTCAGGCCAACAAGACAGCTCCCTTGATTTCCAAGGAGATGCCCCCAGCTTCCTCTCTAAATATGCACAACCCAGAGTTGAGTATGGCTGAGAAGAGTTGACTAGAAGTAAGAACTTGATCAAAGAAAGAAAAGAAAGATGACTCTTAAAGAAATACAACTCTAGAAGTTACAATCAAGAGATATGTTGGTGTTGATGCTACTTTTCATTTCCAAGTGACATGTTTTACCTGCCTTTTGCCTACATTCACCCAATTTGGGTCTTTTCTTTTGAGAAACTATTATTTACAAATCAGGACATGAGGTTCGTCATGAAAGAGGTAGAATATCTATCAAGGACAAGATCAACTCTCTGTCAACATAGGTTTCATGGTTCACAGGAAATTACATTCCAGGTGAAGCCATACCTCCAAGGAGAAAGGTGACACCACTAATCAACAACTACTGACAGGCAGAAAAGGATGAGTATGCGGCCCTTTTTTGTGGTTGTTAATCCTCATCCGAGGATTTTTCCATTGATTTTTGGAGAGAATAGAAGGGAGGGGGAGAGACAGAGAGAAAGAAACATGGATATCAGAGAGACACATCGATTGGTTGACACCCACACGAGTCCCAACCAGGACCAGGGTTCCAGGCTGCATTGGAGGTATGTGCCCTTGACCAGAATCGAACCTGGGACCCTTCATTCCGCAAGCCAATGCTCTATCCACTGAGCCAAACCAGCTAGGGTGAGGTCACTTCTTAAATAATGTAGAACAGTCATGCCAATGTTTATTATTTTAATCACAGAATTGTAAGCTGAAAGGAACATTAGAAACCATCTCTTCCAAATATCTCAACTTGCAAATGAGGAAACTGAGCTCCTTAGAGATGGGGCAGTTCATTCAAGTCCATTCATCTAGAAGGAAGAGTCAGACCAGAACCCCAGGGTTCTAATCCTTACCTAGTGCTCTTCCTAGTTCACCTCACAGCCAAACTTTGATCATTACATAGTAACTTTTCTGTTTGACAGAAATAACATTTCTATTTTCATTTTTTTAAAAGAAAAGGGGATTTTCCCTTTCAGTGTCAGGTTCATGAGTTCTACTTACTCTTTGTGGATGGACATTTTCTCCTCCACGGCCTCTGTTGATTCCTGATATAGTTAAGCCAAAGTCGGCTCTCTCCATGCCAGGGTTATTGACAACCTCCTGAAGAAAGAGGAAGACAGGTAGAAGTCAAAAGGGACATAGAGATGCTGGTTATAACTGCCTATTCCATTATCCCAAATCAAATGGCAAATGCTGGAGGTCAGTTCTGTAAATGGGGAACCCCATGTGTAATTCGGCCACTTCTGTGCAGCCCCAAGATGAACTAACAATCTACCTGTGCCACATGGAAGAAGCTGGCCTTGGAAGCAAGCAGCTTTTCCAATGTCTCAACCCATTCCCACTTGCTGGCTTGTCTTTTCTCCTGGGACCAAAGGTGTTTGTGGCCAGGGGTGCTGAGTTTGAAGGGCAGCAGCCAGCCAGCTCCTGTGGGATTTATCTGCTGCCCTTCCACTTCCCTTCTGCCTGCGTCAGACTACAATGACCAGACCACCCAACCTCTTTGAGGGTGAGAGATTCCTTTGACCAACTGACTTTTGTGATTACTTCTTTCTACCCCCCGAGACATCTTTGGCATTAATTATGTTTCACAGTCTCTATTGGTTCTGTTCCCTTAGAAATCTGGTATGTTTTGTCCTAGATCAGGAATCTCTAGGCCTGTATCTCCCAAATCAGGAGCTGCTGGTCTCATCCACCTGCTGGACTCTCTCCTCTTGCTCCCCTTCTCCCCCAGAAAGTCCAGTGTAGAGGTCTGGGGTGGGGACCAACCGTGTCACTTCAGAAAAATCCAACAGGAGACTCTGAGGCCCAGCCACACCCAAGACAACCTCTGGCCCATATCTAGGAACCCAGGAAGGTGCTTCAGGACAGGAAGGCCTGCTGACTACAGTTACCTCAAATGGGAGGATGGGACTCTGCAGCAAACAGGTCCTCCTGCCATGCCTAGGGCTCACCCCTTGAGGGCTGTCACCCAGCACTCAGACCAGGGGAAAGGCTGGGGAGGGAGGAGCCCTCCCACTCAAAGTCAGAAACATTCGGAAGACTAGGAATTTGCTTGTAGTTTTAATCCAGCGACTTGGAAGAAAATCTACAGTGTAGTGAAATCATACAGCAATTTAAAAAAACATAGGTCCTCAAAAGAAAAAAGTAACTGTTTTCTTGGGGCTATTTCTCAGTCACCTGCTTTTTTACCAACACCAAGCAAAGCTGTCCTGACCTGTTTAGGATGTTCCTTATACAGGGGTTTGGCCTCCCCTGGCTTCCCCACCGTGGTTTTGGACCGTGGCCTCAGCTGACTGATCATGGGAAGATTTTGACAACTGTCATTCATCACCCTAGGGGAGGAAACAAAGAACTTGAAGGAAATTATTCTAACCACTTAGTCTGAGGTAACTAAACAACGTGTGGAGCACACAGAGTTCTTGAAAGATAGACAGGTGTACCACAATAGGGCCCTAACATCTGCACCCCCCTATCCTGTCCATCCAAGCCTGACTCACTCAATCTACCCATTAGATTCTTGCAAGACAGAGCTAGAGGGCCACCTCCTCCTAGAGGCCCCTGACTCACTCTCTGCATTTCCCTTTCATGACCCATGGCTTCAGCCCTTCTGTAAATAGCTTTCTTTTCCTAAAATGCTTTACAAACATCCTTCCCTTGTTTCTTTCCACCTCCACCCAGCTCCCACTCCCCCTTCCCTCTGGAAGAGCAGGGGAAAGGCACAGGAGGAAGGAGTCCTCCACCCAGATGAATGAGCATAGGAAAGCCTAGGGATTTGTCCATGGTTTCAACCCAGTGTGCTGGGTGTCCTTTGTCTACTTAAAATGCCTCCCATCATACTGTGCACAATAGATGCCAAAAGGGGCTAATGGAAGGAAAGCAACCTTACCTCATCTGTTGTCACAGGTCATTCGTGTTTATAAAACAAATTTTCACCAGAATTGTATACTTCAGGCAAAATGAATTAATGGGGCTGGAAGTCAGAATTGGTGGCTAACTGAGGTGGCGATGGGGGTATTGACTGGGGAGGGAGCCTGCTGGTGGACTGCCAGCAGTGGTAGTTATGAGTATATATGCCTTGACTGTATCTATGTTATACATCAGTGCAGAGGTAAAATATACTTGTTCCCTACACACATACCCACATCATCAGGTGTTTGGTTCTCTCATTCTCTTGCCCTCTCACGTGAGATGCATTTCTAAAATTTTTCTCCCCCTGTGCTAAGTGGTCTCAGAGAGCTGCCATTTCAACTCCATTTCTTTGTGAGAAAGAAAAAGTTGGTCATGTCTACTATAACCATATAGCTATTTGGCCAGTGAGACCATCTATGCCAGGGGTCCTCAAACTACGGTCCACGGGCCACATGCAAATACAAATATTGTATTTGTTCCCGTTTTGTTTTTTTACTTCAAAATAAGATATGTGCAGTGTGCATAGGAATTTGTTCATAGTTTTTTTTTAAACTATAGTGCGGCCCTCCAACGGTCTGAGGGACAGTGAACTGGCCCCCTGTTTAAAAAGTTTGAGGACCCCTGATCTATGCCAACAATACCAACAATGTCCACACGTGGCGACTCCAGTATTGGGCCCAATGGGGTAAATGTCATGAGAGGAACAACTGCCAGTTTATCAGGGCATCTGTTTTTCATCTGTAGATTAGGAACAAGAATGTCTGCCCCTCAGGTCTTTTGCTGGCACAGCAATGAAAATCTATGAAATGAATACCAGACATTTCATAAGTGCAAACCCTTGTGAATAGCATTGACTTAAATGAAGTAAGAATAGATAGATGATGATGAAGATAGATAGATAGATAGATAGATAGATAGATAGATAGATAGATAGATAGATAGATATAGACCTATATAGAGAGTTAAATTTGCCTCAACACCCTGTGGGGCTGTAAGGAAACAGGGAGCCTATTTTCCCACTGGAGGCAAATGATTCACAGATTTGCTTTACATGACCAAAACCAAGTGCACTAATGTGCAAAGCAACACCATTCCTTTCCAATCAGCTCTAATGATTGTAAAATTATTTCTAATATGGAACCGAATTCACCCTGTTAATTAACTTCAGTCACTAGTTCTAGGCGTGTCCTGTGGAATTTTGCAGAGAAGATCCAATCTCTCTCTAGAGAGTGAAAACAGCTACTGCATTGTTGTAGGGACCACCCCCACCCCAAGTCTTCTGTTCTTCAAACTAAACATCTCCAGTTTCTCCAGTCATTCCTAAGGTCATCTGGCTCCTAGATTCTTACTCATCCTGGGCACCTTTAATCCAGTCTTCTGACCAGAATGGAGCCACCTCCTACTTTCCAGACTATTTCTATTGATGAAACCCAAAACCACATTAGCAGTCACACTACATTGTTGACTCACACTGCATTTGCAGTTCACTCAGATTCCTAGGTCTCTGGTTTTGTAATAGGGGAGGTATTTGTTGTGAATCTTTGGATAGAGTTTAAATCATATTTCATTAAATTTCATCTTGTTATTTTGGGCCCATCTCCGAAATTGTCAAGACCGTATGGCATCCTAATTCTGTCATCCATCACATTAAAGAAGTTTTCCTTCTTGGGGTCAGCTGCAAATTTCTAAACTGGGAGCTTGCTCTTTGGTGTGAGATGCAAGAAATAGGAAAAGGCACTTTCGTTTGTTAATAGCCAGTCTCATGATACAACCTCTCATTTCAACAACTATCTTTGAGTATAAAACTGTAAACAAACACCATTCATTATTTTCCTAGTTATCCATCCTGATCCCAGCCATTTGCTATCCAACCTTCATGCTTGCGGGTACAAACATCTACTCAGAGGAGAGCTGAAGGAACCCCAAGCCATCAACCTCTATCCCAAAAGGGAAGCAAAGCTCTCCAATGACATTCACTCACAGAATGTTCTGCCAGGTAAGGAATGCTGAGCTAATTTCAAGCATGAACGTATGGCTGAAAAATAATCAGAATCTAAATGTGTTCCCCAAAGTTGGCCTCTTAAAATGTTCCTCACTGGGTCTATTCAGAAGTACTTATTTATTACCAGAGTCTGACTAGCTTTATGGCAACTATAAATAAAAGAATAACATTTGGTCAAAACAATAAAACATTCCTAAAGAATAGTGCAAAGCAAAGGTAGCCTCAGGCAGCGTATTATCACAAAGCATTCTGGGCTCCACAGCCATTTTATAAATGATGCCAAACAGTCCTGTGAGGTGTCTGACCCTTCCTTCTTAGGCTGCACACCAGGGACTGGAGTCACCAGGGCAAGGAACTTAGTGGGGCACATGGAACTCATACCTCCTAAAGGCCTAATGGGTTGCTTGTGATTATAATCTAAGTTTTCTTCAATTGCATTCTAAGATTTAAAGAAATTTTGTTCACTGACTGAATGGCTGTGGGGCCCCTACTAAAACCCCATTTCAACCTTCCCCTAAGGTTTGGGCCTTATTATAACAGAAAAATCTACAGGCCTTCATGCCCCAAAGCTATGCCGTCCTTGGCACCCATGTCCTTGCACTCCTGGCCATTTCTGAACAGGCTCTGACAGTGGGTGTGGGTTGGGAGTGGGAAGAAGGGAATGCAGAGGACACTGAGGCAAGAGTGGTGGGACCTTGTGTCTCCCCAGAATGATCAAGAGACAGAGGAATTCCATCATATGCTGCAAGTCCTAAATGAGATTTGGATTTGAGAAGCTAGAGAAAGGAATATAAGATGAGTGCCAGAAAAGGAGGAGAAAATAAAGGCCTGATTATCTTCAGACAGGTCAGGACATGGGCGTGCACAAAGAAACTCAGGTATGATTTTAAAAGGGAAAATAATATTTCTTGGGTGCTCAGTATGTGCAGGGAACTCACTATGTATCAGAAACATGCTCCTAGCTTGTCAGAAGCAGAGCCCAGAATTGAACCCAGGTCTTTTCATCTCTGAGGTCCATCCTTTTCAAACCACTGAGCCGAGAAAGACAGAGCATGAGTGGGTGCAACTATTCGCAGTAAAACCAGGAGAACTGACAGACATTGGCCCATGTCCTGGACATTTGTAACATGAGCGAACACATGGCTGGGGCCACTTAAATCACATGACCACAGCCTGGTGCTGCTGGTAGACAGTCATGGAGCCTCACTGGAGCATCTTCTGAAAGGGTCCCACAAACTCCTAGAGTTGAGTTGATCAAGATGAATTACCATTTACTTTACCTTCTGGCCTTCCCTCCACTTCTTGGTGGTAAGTTACTTTCTGCTGCAGCAAAACAGATATTGGGAGGAAAAGGAAAGAATTTCATTTTTAAGAGAAAGTGATTTTTCAAGTCTGTTTGTCCTTTTACATTGCTTTTAAATTTGTGCAACAGCCTTTTGGCATTTAAAGACTCTAAGCTACTCTTATCTAGAGAGGAGTGAAACTACCAGTGAAGAGAAAGAAGCCCAGGCTTCCCAAATGTTTCCAGGTAGAGAAAGACCCCAAAGGCCTTGGATATTAAACCTGCTGGAGACCATGGACCTAGTGACAACTCCAGTATGGGCTTAGTTACCATTTCATTAGGTTTTCATGAACTTGAAAATATTTTGCCTTAGTCTGTGGGACACCAATATGATTCCATGAGTCTGGCAGATACTATTTATCAGTCGTACTCTGCCAGTTTACCTGAACATAAAGATTTAGTGTTCATATCCCAGGAGAAGGCATTTCCAAGCTAGATCAGAGCTGGCAATTTAGAAATCAGATCATGTCAATAATAGTCCTAGTGTCCCAGTGGTTAAGAGTCCTTGCTTTCTCTGCCATGACTCAGATCCAGCAGCCAAGGGCTCTGAACCCTGCACTGGAAAGGAGTTTAGATAAAATACCTCTCTCAGACCCCTTCCAGCTCTGAGATTCGGCCCTAGCTATTTTTAATTGACATTCCTCTTGATTTCCTGGTCCCCACATGAAATGTTAAAGTTTGTGGCTTAACAAGTGCCTTATAAACAGGACAATGATCTCCCTTGGTTTATAATTACTTCCCCCACTTACAGACTTCTAAGTCAATGTTACTACAAAACATAGGGCCCTCACTTTAGATCTTTCCTCCAGCCAGCCTCCTTGACTGTTAACCTATACTGGGTCTTTGCAAAATATTGATCATTATCTGGATTGATGGCTTTCTAAAGCATTTCATTATCTATACATGAGCTATTAGCTTCACCAATACTCATTTTCATGTTATTTTCAAGATAGATAATAGGTCTTCCTAGCAAGAAAAGAATCTTCTGTCATTTATCCTCTTCTAACAGCTCTTTCCATCTCTACAGAAATGAAAGTAATGTTGGGCTTCTAAAAAGAACCTGTAAAGTATATGATTGTCTAACCACTGTGCTGTACACCTGAAACCAATACAAATATTATTGAATGTAAACTAGAATTGGAAAAAAAAAGGACCTGTGATACTCTGAGGTTTTGCCTTCATTGTCCTCAAACATGTTCCTCAAATAAATGCCAACATAACTAAAGGAATGTCCATGTCCACAGATCATATTTAAATTGCACTGAATCTAAGGGAAGCTACGGGATCTGTCTGGTCTAGTCCTTCAGTACAGCATGAGGGGCACCATCTATCTGGGAATAAAAGGAGGAGGAAATGCTAATCTTAAAGATGAGATAAAGTTTTATTTCTAGAAAATAGCCATGTACCTGTGTCTGGTGCCTTTTTGATAATTTTGGGGTATTTCTGAAATTTTATAAAATAATAGCTCTCATAGTCCATCAAAATAGTTTCAAGGTCAACGTTGTCGCAAACTTCAAAGCGTCGTAACCCCAGTTGAGTTTCTTGCTCCAAAGCATTAGCTGTATCGATATATCTGGCCATTGCACAGAAGAAAAAAACAAACAAACAAAAAATTAACCCTGAGTAGAAAGAACAAAAGCAAACAGGCATTAAAAGTCCAGAGCCATTATTGTTTAAAACGTTTTTGGAAGTGTTTAGTCAAATAAGTCAACTATGAAAATATCTTGTGATTTACCTTTTCATTTGTAGCCAAAAGTGGGTATTTACCTCTTTATTCATTTTAGGCAACATTTGACAATTGATAAAACCCAAATTCAGCCCCAATAGGCACGATTTGCCCATCATTGAGGTGATTTAAAAGAATATGTCATGAGCTCTGAAGAAAATTCCCACGATATGTTGAGCAACATCACTGAGGAAAGTTAGTATAAGAAGATGTCATCCAGTTGGATGTATTATTTCTGGTAATTTTTTCATCAGTCAGACATTCCTACTTCTAGGTGTAAGTAGTATCTTCACCATAGGTTCTTCACTGTCATTTTTAACCTGTTCGGTTGAAATGCTGTCTGACTTAAGTAGTCTTAGCAATAAAAATAAGTGCCTTGTCCCACAATCCTCTGAAAGTGGAAAGACTCTCCAGCCCATAGTCTTAGTTAACTTGTTTATAAAAGCAAGGACTCTCTCCTGACAAATGTGCACAGATTAGCATACAACTTTAGGGGTTTATCAAAAACCCAAGATTAAGAATTCTTACTACAGGTTGTAATTCCTTCTGTTTGACTTGAATCCAGAAGGTAGAAGGAGAAAACTTTTTTATCATTGTTATGCTCTCTTCCCTGGCCCAGATTCAGGCCAGTTGGAAGACTGAATTTTGTTAAAGAAGGTTATGATTGCCCTAGCCGATTTGGCTTAGTGGATAGAGTGTCAGCCTGCAGACTGAGGGGTCCGGGGTTCGATTCCAGTCAAGGGCACGTACCCGGGTTGCGGGTTTGGTCCCCAGTGTGGGGCGTGCAGGAGGCAGCTGAGCGATGATTTCTCATCATTGGTGTTTCTATCTCTCTCCCCCGCTTCCCTTCCTCTCTGAAATCAATAAAAATATTTTTTTAAAAAAAGAAGGTTATGATTATTTGCCGAACCGGTTTGGCTCAGTGGATAGAGCGTCGGCCTGCGGACTCAAGGGTCCCAGGTTCGATTCCGGGCAAGGGCATGTACCTTGGTTGCGGGCACATCCCCACTGGGGGGCGTGCAGGAGGCAGCTGATCGATGTTTCTAACTCTCTATCCCTCTCCCTTCTTCTCTGTAAAAAATCAATAAAATGGGGATTGTCAAAGGTGGGGGAAAAAAGAGACATATGTAATACTCTTTGTAATACTTTAAAAGTAAAAAAAATAAAATAAATAAAAAAATAAAAAAAATAAAAAAGAAGGTTATGATTATTTCCCATGACCTTGCTAATTTTAAAGAACTTGCAAACGTCAACTGGCTGTACTCAGTCAGCTTCTATACTTACTGATGACTCACCTGGCTTCTACACTCTGTCTTAATCCCCATTTTACAGAGAGATAAGCTAAATCCATTTTTCATTAATGACTTTTGTTTAGTATGAAGTAATATATGCTAATTTAAGAAAAAAACTAGAAAATACTGATAAGTCAAAAGAAAATTCCACCACTCATAGATAATGACTGTTAACATTTTCTCTATCTTTCCAAACATTTTTATTTTTATTTATTTTTTTAAATATATTTTTATTGATGTCAGAGAGGAAGGAAAAGGGAGAGAGAGATAGAAACATCAATGTTGAGAGAGAATCATTGATCGGCTGCCTCCTGCACGCCCCACACTGGGGATCAAGCCTGCAACCTGGGCATGTGCCGTTGGCCGAATCGAACCTGGGACCCTTTAGTCCGCAGGCCGACGCTCTATCTACTGAGCCAAACCGGCTTGGGCTCCAAACATTTTTAAATGACTAAATACACATATATTTGCACTTGTAAGCAAGAAAAAAAAGGAAGATAGAAACAGAGACTATAAATGGCTTGTAGTCTTTACTGACATCACACTATATTCTAAACTCTTTCCACGATCATAGAGTTTTTAATTTAAAAAAATTATACTAGATAATGGCAGGTCCCGTGTTTCCTAAACTAATTGATCAGAGAAACAAAACTGCTTCCGTGTGTTCCTGTTTCACTACTTGAGTTTGAATGAGGTCTGAAGTTGATAGGGTTGGCAGGAGCCACTAGAGCTTCTTAACCAACAGTGACAGGACAGGACCTCAGGACAAGCAGTGAGCACTAATAAGCAAGACACAGCAGGAGAGACAGAGGCTGGTAACAGGCTGAGTCCGAGGGGATGCACATGTGGTGCTACGAGGACCTGTACCATGACCTCCACTGTCTGATCTCACCAATTCTCCCTCACACTTTTGAACTCTAGTCTTCCTATTTCCCTAATCTGTTATGCCATGCCTCTTCTTCCTCTTTGCCCTTGCCTAGGATGTCCTTGTCCAGCACATCTGTCTATTGGCATTCTACACATCTTTCACTGTATGTCAGCTATAATTAAAAAATAAAAATGAAAAGAAAAAGGCCAGCTCATATCCCTTCTCTACAAAGCTTTCTCTGATTGTTTATTTCAATCCACAATAATCTATTCTCTTTGCTCAATTCTTAGTATTTTGTTAAAGGCGAGGGTATTTTTCTGACATTGATATGTCCTTAAAATTACCTATATTAGCCCATTGGGTGTAGCTCAGTGGTTGAGCTTCAACCTATGAACCAGGCGGTTATGGTTCGATTCTGGTCAGGGCTCATGCCTGGGTTGTGGGCTCGGTCCCCAGTAGGAGGCAGTTGATCAGTGATTCTCATCATTGATGTTTCTACCTCTCTCCCCCTTTCTCCCTTCCTCACTCTGAAATCAATTTAAATTTTTTTTTTAAATACCTACATTATAGTTCACTTTTCATCTTGATAATCCATTCATAAGTCCCTTCCCCAGCAGGTCTCAGGGAATATTACTATAAGTAAAATTTTCATTGATTCAAGATGCAAGGAGCCATCTCATGGCAAAAAGGAGAAATGCATGTTTTGTTAACACACAGTAAACTCTTTATGCCTTAACAGGTAGGTGGCAAAATTCCCTCCCCCGGCCAGTTATAAGAGAGGCATTCCACAGAAAAGAGCTGAGCATAGGTGATTCTGGTCAATGCAATTTCTTTATTTTGAAGGAAGAAAAACAGGATTAAGAGTATTATCTCTGTGTACAGTGGGACGCTGGGAAACTCACTGGATAAAGGACTTAAACGTAAGACAGGAAACCATAAAAATCTTAGAGGAATCCACAGGCAGCAAAATCTCAGACATATGCTGAAGCAATATCTTCACCAATACAGCGCCTAGGGCAATGGAAACTATAGAGAAAATAAACAAATGGGACTACATCAAAATAAAAAGCTTCTGCACAGCAAAAGAAACCATCAACAAAACAATAAGAAAGCCCACTGCATGGGAGAACATATTTGCCACTGTTATCTTCAATAAGGGTTTAATCTCTAACATTTACAGGGAACTCATACAACTTAACAAAAGGAAGATAAACAACCCAATCAAAAAGTGGGCAACGGACCTAAATAGATACTTTGTGAAAGAGTATCCAAGAGACATATGAAAACATGCTCAAAGTCAGATGCAAATGAAAATGACAATGCGGTACCATCTCACACCTGTCCGAATGGCTATCATCAACAAATCAACAAATGACAAGTGCTGGCGAGGATGCGGAGAAAAAGGAACCCTCGTGCACTGCTGGTGGGAATGCAGACTGGGGCAGCCACTATGGAAGACAAAAAGTTAAAAATGGAACTCCCATTTGACCCAAAAATAGCTAAGATTTGGAAACAGCCTAAGTGCCCATCAGCAGATGAGTGGATTAAAAAACTGTGGTACATCTACACAATGGAATACTACATTGCTGTAAAAAGGAAGGAACTCCTACCATTTGCAACAGCATGGATGGACCTGGAGAGCATTATGTAAAGCGAAATAAGCCAGTTGGAGAAAGATAAATATCACATAATCTCACTCATTTGTGGAATGTAATGAACAACATAAACTGATGAACAAAAACAGATCCAGAGACAGAGAAGCATCGATCAGACTGTCAAACCTCAGAGGGAAGGTAGAGGAGGGTCGGGGTAAGGGGGAAAGATCAACCAAAGGACTTGTATGCATGCATATAAGCCTAACCAATGGACACAGACACCAGGAGGGTGAGAGCATGAGCAGGGGCATGGGGGTGGGGGCAAAGGAGGGATAAGGACACATATGTAATACCTTAATCAATAAAGAAAATAAAAAATGAAAAAAAGGCCTACACTAACTTCAAACCTGAATGTGAAAAGGTGTGTATCACATGAGCTGGATAGCTTTGTTAATAAAGTTTTCAAGTACACAATACAAAAAATACCTAGGTACATGCGGCAATAAAAGTGTGTGTTTAAGCTGCTGAGGATGGGGCAGGGACAGGTAGAGCACAGGGGATTTTTAGGGCAGCAAAGCTATTCCATATGATATGACAGTGGTAGATACCTGACATTATGCATTTGTCAAAACTCATGGAACTGTACAACACCAGAGTGAGCCCCGATGTAAACTTTAGCTACTAATAATATACCATATACAGTATTGGTTCATCAATTGTAACAAACGTACCACATGAATGCAAGATGTTAATAATAGGGGAGACTGGGCAGCATGGGGGTTGCCCACATACGGGAACTCTCTGTACTTTAAAAAAAATTAACTGTAATTTTTAATTGATTTCAGAGAGAGGAAAGGAGAGATGAGAAAGAGAGAGAGAGAGAGACCTCAGTCAGTTGCTTCTTCCCCCAACCTGGTATCAAACCAGAAACCTAGGTATGTACCCTGACCGGGAATCAAACCCAACACCTTTCAGTGCACGGGATGATGCTGCAACCAACTGAGCCACACCAGCCAGGGCCTCTCTGTACTTTGTGCTCAATTTTTCTGTAAATATTAAGCAGCTCTAAAAATAAAATCTATGACTTGTTATTTAAAGGGTGTATCTGAAAAAGCAGAGGTCAGAAAAAGAGAGGAGTCATCTCTGTAAATATTTGCAATGTAACATACCCTTCCTGTGTTAAATGATGCAAAATCAAAATAAGAAGATTTTTTCGTCGTGCTTCTGTCCTCATCTTGCACTGTGAACAAAAAGGAAAATTTAGATCAGATGACAATGAGATATAACACTCCTTCTATAGCAAGAAACCCTTGAAGTTAAAGGTACCAGTCAAAACCAAGAAGCATGACTTAAAGGCCGGAAGGCAGTTTGGCATTTCTTGGGATATATAAACTGTTTTCCATTGTTACTTTCTTTTTTTTAATCCTCACCCAAGGATATTTTTTTCATTGATTTTTAGAGAGAGTGGAAGAGAGAGGGAAAGACATAAATGTCGATTGGTTGCCTCCTGCATGAGCCCTGACCAAGGCCAGGACCAGGGAGGAGCCTGCAACCGAGGTACATGCCCTTGACGGGAATCGAACTCGGGACTCTTCTGTCCGCAGGCCGACGCTCTATCCACTGAGCCAAACCAGCTAGGGCCATCGTTATTTTCTTCTTAGAGCTGACTTCTTAATTGTAAACCGAAGGTACCATGATTTAAATTAGGATTTCACTTTACTAGTTAACTTCTTAGTGTCAAGATAATTGGCATTTTATTGCTTATAACTGCGAAGAAACAAATATACACAGTCCTATTTGGATCAGGTTAAGGAAAGCGATAATAAAGATAAACTCATGAGCCAGGAATCAGCTCTGACATCCCAGGTACTTACCTGCTCTTACAATTAAAATTTACTCAGAGTCCTACCCAGTCCCTGCACCAATGTGGAGATGAGTTCCAATAACTATTCAGGGCTGACTGCACAGCCAAGCACTTAGAATAGAGTAGCAAAGCCATACAAAGGAAATTCCTGCATAATAATATCCTTATTCAGTTTATGTGACTTTTACATTTATCCACAGTGTTAATGTGCTGCATTTAGTTATCTGGTATCTCAAATTTCCCTGAAATCTGTAATAATAAAAGCATAATATGCTAATTAGATTGGATGTCCTTCCGGACGACCTTCCAGATGAAGCCGGGGCTGCGGCGAGGGAAACCAGGGTCCTGGGTGCCAGAGGGAAGCCGGTGCCGGCAGCCAGGGCAAGGAAAGTCTACTCTTTTTTTTATTGTCTAAAGTTTTACATATGTCTCCTTTTTCCTCGATTGACACCCCCCACACACAGCCATTTCCACCACAGGCAAGCCCCCACCACCCCAGTGTCTGTGTCCATTGGTTATGCTAATATGCATGCATACAAGTCCTTTGGTTGCTCTCTAACTTCCCCCCACCTCCCCTGCCATTTGTCTCTGGATCTATTTTTGTTCATCAAATTATGTTGATCATTATATCCCACATATGAGTGAGATCATGTGATATTTATCTTTCTCTGACTGGAGGAAGGCCTACTCTTGCATGAATTTCATGCATTAGGCTTCTAGTGTATTTATAAAATGCTTCCAATAATATTCCCCTTGCCCAGCCCAGAGGTAACAACCATACTGACGTTTATGTTAATTATTCCCTTTTCCTTTATGTTTTTACCAAATATGTATGTATCTTTAAAAAAAATACATATTGCCCCACCTGTGTGGTTCAGTGGTTGAGCGTTGACCTATGAACCAGGAGGTCACGTTTCAATTCCTGATCAGGGCACATGCCTGGGTTGTGGGTTTGATCCTATGTGGGGCGTGCAGGAGGCAGCCAATCAATGATTCTCTCTCATCATTGATGTTTCTTTCTCTCTATCCTTCTCCCCTTCCTCTCTAAAATCAATAAGAATATTTTTAAAAGAAACGTTTTTGGTTTCACATTTTTGAACTTTATATGAATAGAATATGCATCCCATTCATGTGACTACTACATGTGACTTCTTTTGTTCCACAGTATGTGATTTTCCTAACAAAAGTTAATATCAAAGTAAAGGCTTACATATGATCAAGCTATTCCATACAACCTTCACTTAAATTATCTGCTTCCACTGATTTTTAGTCTGGGGGCACAATTTCAATACCATACAGGGTTGCTATCTAATATGTCTCAACATAACCAACTGTTCCCTTTCCCAGAAAACAGAAGTATCTTCAAATGCCCACAGTACCTGGCATGGTGCCAAGTGCTAAATAGACTCTGATATTTCATGATAGGTTTACTAGATAATTGTTTGTTTGTTTTCAAAATACAGGTCATTATATCAAGTTAATGGATTATAAACAGCATAGTTTACAATGCAATAGAATTATCACAGAATGCGTAACAGGTAAGAAGGCTTACTATTGCTTCATGAAACTTTTGTTGTGTTTGCTCACATGCCTGTGTTCTGGATCTCAATCTCAGATGTCTTCCTTAGTTGATCACAATAAAAAAGTTTGAAAATCACTATAAAAATGACATTAAGATGTCCAACACTGGCAGTTTTCATTCATCTTTCTGAAGGTGTTGACACAAGAACTCTTGGTGAAGGCCTTTCTAATTTACCAAAATTAGCGTTGGTGGTCAAAGTTTTTTTTTTTTGGAATTTGATTTGCCTCGCCTATAGTGCCATCTAGTGTATTAGGAGGAGAAGCACTTCATGAAATGTAGGTTGTTCCAAATTATTAGTTCAATAATAAAGATGACAATCATCACAAAATTCAGTCCAAATTCAGTTTGCAAAATGAAAATACAAACTCATATTGAACAATAAGGGATATGTTTTTAAAGTACAAATTCAGAAATTATGCATGGGATTTTGGTTCAGAATTTTAAGGGTCTGGAAGGAACCTGAAATCTAGAAAAGTTAAGAGATTTGCTCAAACGCCTGCAAAGAGTTGGGAGCAGAACCCAAGTCTTCTAGTCCCTGGGCCAATGCTCTTCCCTCCACCACTTCCTTACCTGCACTCACCCCTCCTCACCAGTCTACTCCCACCCCTGCACATTCACTCCAGACCAGAGAGAAACTGCTATTTAAATTTTTTTTTAAAAAAATTGCATGCCACATTTGCCAAACTCAAACAACTGTGGTTACCAGTCTAAAGTAAAGAGAAATAAAGTTTGTTTAAAAAAAATCAGGCAGCATTGAATGGAAGGAACCACTGATTAGTTAGGCAGCAAAAATCAGTAATAATATGTACAAAAATAACTACAAAAACTGTGTTTGTTAAATAATTCTACTCTGAATAATCCTACTCTAAAGTTGCAAGACAAGAATCAACAAAACTGTTTGCAATGTTTTCCTTTATTCCTAACCCTGTTTACAATGGGTAAATTGTTCTCTTTAAAGTTGGGTCACTTACTAAGGAAGTCAGAAATCTCAATGAAGCCCTAGCCAGTTTGGCTCAGTGGACAGAGCATTGGCACGTGGACTGAAGGGTCCTGGGTTCGATTCCCGTCAAGGACACGTACCTCGGTTGCATGCTTGATCCCCAACCCCAGTCAGGGCATGTAGGGGAGGTAAGCAATCAATGTGTCTCTCTCACATTGATGTTTCCCTCTCTCTGTCTATTCCCCTTCCTTCCACTCTCTCTAAAACATCAATGGAAAAATATCCTCCAGGTGAGGATTAACAAAATAAACAAACAAAAAAGTCTCAATGTAGGATTGATGGTTAACATGAAATAAGGGGAGCTGAGCCTTTAAGTGGCCTTATTTCAAAGACTCCAAAAGGCCCACACCAAGACACATCATAATTAAAATACCAAGGGTTAAAGACAATGAGAGAATCTTAAAAGCAGTAAGAGAAAAGCAGTTAGTTCACCTACAAGGGAGTGCCCATACGACTGTCCGCTGATTTCATTTTTTTGTTTTGTTTTGTTGTCAGCTGATTTCTCAACAGAAACTTTTCAGGCCAGAAGGGAGTGGCAAGAAATATTCAAAGTGATGAATAGTAAGGACCTACGACCAAGATTACTCTACCTAGCAAAGCTCTTATTTAAAATTGAGGGTCAGATAAAGAACTTCACAAACAAAATGTTAAAGAGTTCATCACCACCAAACCAGTATTACATGAAATGAAGGGTATCCTTTTTTTTAAAGGGTATTCTTTAAGAAGAAGAGATAAAAAATATGAACAATAAAATAGCAACAAATACATATATATCAACAATTGAATCTAAAAATCAAAA